AAGGAGGAATGGCTCTTTCCACTCAGAAGCATAGGCAACAAGAGGTCAAATTGCCATACAAGAAGCAACATGAAGAAGAGCATTTTCATAGACTGAGTAATGATGAGCTTAAAAGCACTACTTGAAAGGGCGGTGGATTTCAGAAGAGAATTAGATAAATATTTGAAGGGGGAAAAGAAGTGTGCACAGCTACAGGAAAAACCTGGGGAGTGGGTCTAATTTGGTAGCTCTAGCAAAGAGCAGCATCCTGTGCTGAACTATTATATGAATGTTCTTTAGTTAAGCCTAGCTGACAGAAATTAATTTAGGTAAGGGCACATATCAGTCTTGAACTTCTCTTGTACAATTAAATAAAAAGCACAATGTCATTAATAGGTGAGGCATGAAGAAACTTTTTTTTTTAAAAGAAGTGCAACTTGAAAAAATGTAGAACTGAGAAATCAGCCCAAGTAAATGACTGTCCCCAGATACTGCTGCATGTTGACTAAATGAGAATAGTTTGAATTTTAGAATCCTATTCCTATTTGAAATTACAATAAGCTATTTGGATTGTTTTCTGAAAAACCTATGTATCACAAGCAAAAACAAAATCATAAGGGGAATGCAAAGAATGTGACAATAATTTATCATCAGTTATGCTGCCTCACCCTTTTTTTAAATTCATTCATGAGTTGTGCAAATCACTGGCTTGGCCAACATTTCTTGCCCATCCCTAATTGTCCTTGAGAAGGTGCCTTCTTGAACTGCTGCAGTCCACCTGCTGTCGGTTGATGCACAATGCCCTTAGTGAGGGAATTCCAGGATTTTGACCCAGCAACAGTGAAGGAACTGTGATATATTTTCAAGTCAGGATGGTGAATGGCTTGGAGGGGAACTTGCAGGTGGTGTTGTCTGTATCTGCTGTCCTTGTCCTCCTAGATGGAAATAGTCATGGATTTGCTGTCCAGAGATCTTTGGTGAATTTCTGCCATGCATTTTATAGGTAGTAGACACTGCTGCTACAGAGTGTCACAGGATGTGGATGTGGTGCCAATCAAGAGGACTGCTTTGACCTGGATGGTGTCAAGGTTGTCGGAGTGTTGTAGGAGGTGCACCCATCTAGGCAAGTGGGAGTATTTCATCTCACACTGACCCAATTCCAATCAATAGATTACTGGAGGTGGGACATGGGTAAAGGGATAGCAATGGAAAAACATACAAGTGTTATTTTTGAAGTAGTGGATATAGAAATCTAAGAAAGAGATAAGCTCTTGTGTTTTATGGGGATTAGGAAGAGCTTAATGAACTCATTCATGTTTGATACATTCCTGATATGTTAACATTTACAGATCAACTCCAAGACTGTTCTTTAAGTAGATATTTTATATTTTCAGTTTCAAGTTGAATTTCACCACGTGAAAGTAATGTCATCGTGCATGTTACCACTTTCAAAACACAGGGTTTGCAAGTTCCTGTTCTTTTGACCTGTCAACAATGATGTCAATGAAGTTCAACTTGTCAAGTTAGACAACTGTGTCTGAGGTACAACAAATAAGCATAGAAAATAAAATTTTCTTAACTTCAGGAAGAGATGCCATTGAAATACTTCAGTTAAAGAAATCTAGTGAAAATTTGAATCAAATTGGAAGGGTACCTATGAAAATAAAACTGGCATGTCTTCAGTGCCAAATCTCTCAAATTTCAAGCTAGGTTTCGTCTGTTCAACATCATGTGCTGCAGCTATGGGGATACATGAAGACGATTTAGTAGCCACCCACACCCCCTAACACACACACAACCCATTTCAAACCAGGCAAGTATGCATTATTGATTAGACAGAAAATTTAAACTAGCCACATGTGCAATGGTGAATCACTAACTGGTCACTCACTAATCATTTTACAAAATTTGAATAAAAACACAATGCATGTACTAGTCTCTAAAGATTAATACAATGAGTTCTATAATTCTATTTTATATCAAATTACTACAATTGAAAGCAGTGTTCAGTATAACCCTGGTATATATTAACAGCATTAACATAAGGGAAGTGGAGCAGAACTGGATCACAGGCTAGATCACAGACCTTCAGCCTGCTCTAGTACTTAACTGATTGTGGAAGATCTTCCTCAATTTCATTTTCCCACCCACTCTCCATACCCAGAGAGTCCTTAAGACACCAAAAAATCCTTGAATATACTCAATGATGGCTCATCCACAACTGAGAAGACAATTCTAAAGATTTTGATTGCTGATCCCATAATGTCTTGATGTTCAGATTAAAATTATTACAGAAACAAAAAACAATTCAAGTATTAAGCCTGGCAAAAACTTCCTTATTTGTGATGCTGCCTGTCCTTTTTCCTGAATCAGCAAAATGAGTAACAAGCATCTAAAGAACACTGGAATCCTACCACTGCAAAATAAGAACAATTCCTGGCAAGACCCGAGGATGAAATATAAGGAGCATAATTTGTTCGGTTTTCCCCCCCCTCTCCCACCCCACCAATTCCCATAAACATCAAATGTATTCTGTATTTTGAAGATTGAGAAACAGCAAACTTGCTGACTCCTTACAGACAGCTGTTTGCTATTTGTGCAAAAAGGTGAATGAAAAAAAATCACTAAACAGCAACCAGCACTTAAGAACATACGAAAAGGGAAAATCCCCACCAAACTGTCAGACGATAATGCTGCATTAACCATTTTTGCAAAATCTAAATTGGCAAGTATAACATTGCTGTGTCAAGTAAAATAAGTCATAGAAAGATGACTGAAGGTTACTGGCTCACGTGCAAATGCTGTTTATACATTGGAAAGCTGAATTCATACTCGACAATTATTCTAACCACCAAAATTGGGTAAATGTTTTTGTTGGTTCACATGCAGTTGCTTATATTATGGGAGTGGTGCCAGAAGACTGAAGGTGTTGAATAGCTCAAGTTTGTTTAATGATCTATACTGACATTCTGGATAAATACAGATCAAGAATGCTGAAAAAAACATTCACCAGATATTCTAATTGGGAGGTGGTTGTTGCTGAAGTGTAGACTGGAGTTGTGCGTGGGACCATGTGGAGGTCCAGACTCAGTTGACTGTGGGAGCTTCCTGGGAAGTTTAAACTTCCAATAGGAAATTACCCATCATCTCAAGCACTCCAGAAGATCCCCAAATTCCAAGTTAAAAGTCAGAGATTTTGATATTTCTGACTTAGTGACTGAAAATTGCTCTAACTCCAGGGCAGCAATAAATCTGGAGTCTAAGCACTAACACTGACACTCCCCACCAACCTCCAACACACCCCAATGACCAAAATTCTAAACCCCTGATATTTTCTACCCACACACCCAAATTCTCAACCTCCCCATGGATAACTCACCTGCTCCCTGACCCAACAAGACTTGACGCCACCACACCACCTCCAACCTGAACCAACACTAATCCATCCTGTACCCCTTCAAACTGATCCAACTTATAATCCCAACAACTGACAGCCTGCCACCTTATCCAACTGCTTGTAACCGTAACCACTTACTTTACACACTTACCTTCTCTCCATTATTCAAAGTACCTTTTGAACCTTTAAACCCCTTTTTCCAACAGCTAGTGTTGTATAAAAGGGTTGTGTCTTGACTTCAAATGCGGATTCTGGACTTTGTGGATCCTTGGTCAGTTTCCTCCAACGGAGGCATCCAAAGCAGGCCATACTCTTTAGTCTACCTACACAAATCACTGACAAGTAAGTGCGAAATCTCTTGGTTGGATAAGGTTCTGACAGGAATCCAAAGGTCTGGGCCCTTACTTCAACTCTTTCCAAGTATAGTATTAGACCCAACTTTCAGCTGTCAATTTCTACAAGGAAAGAAAGGTATCAGTAAACAAATCCAGGCAGTCTGCATTAATGGATAATGTGGGAAGTTGATCAAAAACAGGCATTTGCCTCAGTTTGTACAATAACCCATAAATACACATGTTGGATTTTTCTAAATGCAATTAAAAGGGGTTTCACATCAAACAGGTGAATCAAAGATAGGCAAACATGCCTGTGTAAACAGCCTCAGAAGTGAACTGGGAATTTTACATCAAGGAGAGCTTCTAACAGGAATTTAGAAAGGTCGTTTTATTAGTGTCACTGGATGATTTCGTGCCTTTACTAAAATTGCAAAACAATAAGTTTCCACATTGATATATCATGCAGCACTTTCCTCATTAAATTATACTTTGTCTTCTTTCCAAAATGTGTTGGAATTCAGAATGAATATAAATAATGAACAATTAGCAATTCAAGCTCCATATTTTAATTGCTCAAAGATAACATGGTAGCAGTCAAAGTATAATGTACAATAAAGTAAATATGTTTGCTGAAATACTTCTTTGGATCTACCAATACAAATGTCCAACAAATTCAACTGCAGCAACAGATTGCAAATGAAACCTGATAAAACACTCGTGTAAAAATATGTGATTATGTTGCTCTTTACCTGAAATACATTTTGTACAAAATACCAGTAGTATGTAAATAAAATGCTATATAAAAATAATGATTACCATATGCAATAAGCATCCTGTTGTGGCAGAATGCAGTATTTAAAACAAAATGCAGGAAAAATATACTATTTACTACACAATGTATAAAGGACAGAAGTTGCCTGCATTTTTTTTCCCAACTGCAATAACTTTTTACTATCTATTACTAATAATCTATTGACACTTCATGTGGACTCTATGCCTTAAGTGTTTTACACATTCACTTTAGTCCTGGACGAAGCTTGGCACATGGAAGTTTGAGAGGGGAAAACCATCTGAACAGTATTTAGTGATTTGTGAGGAAGCAAAACTGTTTTCAGTCTTCGGTCATCCACTGTGGAACAATCCAGCAAACACACAATGTTGATTATGCCTCCATTCCAAGTCTATGAATTTTCTTTAGAAGTAGGCACATATATTTTTGAAAATAAAATAACAGGCAAATTACTTTACCTTGAATCTGCTTTCATTCAGTCCTAAAATATCAGTACAAATATAGAACATGACACTTTTAATTGTAAAGAACTTTACAAAATACAGAGAAATTGTGCAACTATGGAAGCACACTGACTATGGGCCATCTGATGTATAAATCATTGGTAAACACTGGTTAATGTACAGTGAACAGAGATGCAACATGCACAATGCAAAATACAGTCTGTACATTTTTGAATGCAAACAACTGGAAATCCTGGCACACAGAATTAAACAAGAAAGAAAAAGATTTGAGAGTAATTGTGGTTTTTACATCAAGTTGATTTATACATCAGACATCCTACATATTAAAGTACAAAACAGAGCAGCTGAATGGTAGTAATACAAAACACTGTAATGCTCTTTTATCGTAAGTAACACTAAATACATCTAACAAAATTCTAATGGCACTTAAATTTTATAAAAGATTCATTACCAGTTTATGGTGCTGAAGAGATACTCTCCTATAAAGATTTCTGAAAGTGCTAGAACATAGTGAGTTAACCAGCCATAAGAGGAACTATTAGCCTTACAATGAATACAGGAATTAACGTTCACTGAGAAAGGTGTACTTGATCACTCTACAGTTATTCACTTTATATGAATAAAGTTGATATTGTCACTTTGGCTTTTAGCCAAATAATGTCAAGATTAACTCAGAAAATATCTGTCCACAGGTAACAGAGAGTTGCTGTCACTCATTTGCATCCAATCATCCTTGATATAAATAATTTATTTTGTTGAGGCGGAATAGAACATGTAGGTAATTAATAATTTTCTAATTGGTACCGCAACAGTCTATACATTATTTTCCTCCTGCAACAGTGAACTGAGGAAATCCATTAAGATATTTAGAGTTGAGTAAAGCCACACTATACATATTGCTGCAACAATTTACTGGTTTATAAAATAAACCGCTCTAGGCTATGACAGAAATGGCATATGATTTCTGCCATTATAGTAATTTGGCAGTGATATTACTTCATAAAAATAATTTATATATTAAAATATAGATATTGTTGATTTGCAAGAGGAATTTAATTGTTTTTAAACAGCTTATTGCAAATCAACAGCAGGTTTGTCCTGCTGTTGATTCAGTAACAGAGGTCCACATTCACTGTAAGGCAGTTTTGGTTTTCTCCTAGGCTTATAGCAAGAAGCATGCATGAGGTGATGTGTTGTGTCTTTGTGAGGTCCTGCTCAGAGAACTGTGAAGTAAGGATTCAAATAGCTCAAAGCCTCTGGTGGCCAGAATAAGGCACTGTCAGGAGAGGCAAAACAGTAACAGAATTAAAATCTTTACATTAAACACAAGCATAACATAAAAATCTTTCTTGATGAGACCCTGACTTATAATCAGGGTATTCTTAATCCAAACACCCTGTTCTGTATCCTTTGTAGATCTCACAACTCCTAAATACAAGGAAAGGTACAATATTTTCAAAGTAATTATTCACTATAATAAAAGTCTAGTGATACTTGATGGATTTTAAGGTTACTATGCCTACAAGCCAACAATGCACCTCTTGCAGATGATGGTTAAGAATTTAATTAGCTTGATGTGTTTTAACTACTTTTTGGAACTAAATCTTCTAATATATGCACTGTAGTATTATACACAGATGTATATCATAATGTCTTTCCTTCTCTTGAAGATACGTTGGGGTTTAAATGAATGCACAAAGCAAAATTTAGGATTATTACTCAGATGTAAAAGGCAGATATTAAAATATAAGAAGCAACTGCATTATAATTAAGCCACAACTTCTCCCCAGTAAGCTGAGAATTGAGAGTGTTCAGTGTTTCATTTTTTAAAGCTGATTTTTTTTTAAAAAGTAAAATTAGTGTTGGAAGGAAAACTGCATCACACATTTAGATAGTGGCGATTATGATAATGAATTTTATTCAAAATGCTAAGTTTTAAGTATGCCACAAATCTGGACGCAAAGAAAGATTCTTCAATAGTTTAGAAAAATAGAGCCAGACTCCTGTAAAAATGTGCATCAAGCTAACTTTGATCGATTGGCTATGATTATTTTTGTGCAATTGTGTACCTTTGTTACAAACTAACATTCAAGTCTACCTTGCTTTAGGCTATTCCCCTTTTAGAGATGTTTAACCAATGTTAATTATGGTCTGAAATGCTTTTACAGTACTGCACAGAACACGACCGGGGTGCTCCTGAGCCTAGTACTGAACAAAATCACTGAGGAGCTTAATCTGTACCCTAGAAAAATTAGCAGCAAAATTTAAACTGCTAATTTTATTACATAGGATGCAACATATAAGCTTTGCTGTAAATGAGCTAACGTTAATGTTCGAAAACTCTCAAAGGCATAAACTATATAGGCTCTGTGCACCACAGTATAATAGGTTAATGTATGAACCATGGTATGAAATAATTGAACATAAAGACATCTATCCTCTCAAAAAATATTACTTCATGAGGAAAATGAAGCAGCTGCTTTGCAATCATAGTAGTAAATAGGGACCAATCTGGTAAGGTGAAAACTTTCATACATCCCAGTACGACAAATGTAGCTATACAGAAAGAAATGCAAGGCTAGAAATTATTGCTGCCAACATTCACAACTTGAAGTGTCCATTAGACCTCATTTGATTGCTATTTTAACAGGTATTGACCAGTTTACTTAAAATAGATTAATAACGCCATTAAAATAACAAAGAGAATTCATGTGAAAATGCTAAGCATTTCCCGAGCACCATTATGAACAGAAAATTTCTAGGCACTGCTCTTTAAATTATTATTCACATCAACATGTCCTGGCACATATCTTCCTGGTACTTCTACAATGTCTAGATTTTGAGGAACTGAAGGGTGTTTTAAAGAAGAAATAAACCAATACTTTTTTTTTTTAAAGAGGGCAATTGAATGGGCACAACTCACATTGTGAGCACAATTTAACTATTTCACAGACCAACTTTTGTTTCATGAAGAGACCTTTGCATGCGACAAAAAATAGTTTTAAAAACATGATTTGGACAAAGCAGAGATTAATACATGTTGCACAATGCTATATTAACTATATTATATTCCCATCCTTCACTAATCTTTCCCTGTAATTCTATTTCAGACTTTTAGCTCATGAATTAACTTCTCAATTGTAACAGGTCTCCATGTATGTTAAACACATATGAAATGTTAGCTATCTGGGGAGTAATTTTCACATTAAAACTCATCCACTTCAGAGTTCTGATACGATCAGCCCTCATGTGGATTTCTATCCATAGTAGAGTGTAGAAAGCAAAAGGCTCATTGTTTGTATATGCCTCATCAGTTGCTAATAGATTTTTAAAAATAACCCTCCATATTATGGATTAAACTGAATAACGGAAATTGCCTTATAAAAGCTTCTTCAAAGCTTTAGCTTCCTTTGAGTTCTAGAAAGCTTTGTGCGCTTCACTAAATTCCACTCCAAGCACAGATTATTGAATAAAAGATTCAACAGTAGTTCACTGGAAAGCCTGGTGGAAACGTGGCAATGTCGTTGTGCTCAGACTGGTGGTAAAGACGGGAGATAATGGGTGAAGAGGCCCAAGGTTTAGACCATTTCCAGATCCCTGGGAGTCCTGGAGCTGAGGCTGAAGAGCAGTAAGCAAGGACTGAGGTTCACTTTGAGCATAGCCCATTACCAGCCCCCCTGTTGAAACAGGTGGATTGTACGTAGGGTGGTTCAGTGGTAAGAAGCTCAGTAAATGTGAAAAGTCCATGTTTGCTGTACAGAGGGATTCAGTAATTATAGCAGGGCTTTTGGAAAGCAAATGTTCACCAGAAATGTCATCCAGAGGCCCAGTTTGTGAATCTAAGCCTACTTTAGCTGGTGAAGACTGAGATTCATGGGATGAAAGTGGCAAACTGCTGTGCAAGTCCATTAAGTAACTTTCTGTTGGCTTCTCAGACAAGCCAGTGGCATATGAGGTAGATCCAAGCTGATATTTAGAAGGGGGTTGAGGGGGTGCTGAATGAATTGATGACGGAGACTCCATTTGGCAACCCATTCCCATAGCGAGAGAACTGGCAACCAGACTGTGTGAGGATCCTGAGTTTGCCATGGCTTGAATGTGTGGACTGTACATACTCATTGGCAAACTAGTAAATGGCTTACCTACCGCCTCCTTTGAAGCCATACACATCATTGGACTAAGTTCTTCCTTCACTGTTATGGGTGGACTGGAGTGAAGCAATCCCATCATATCAGATGGCTCAGTCTTAATTTTCAATAATTCCTGTGAATGACTCTTCTTCATATGTCTTGTCAAGTGGTCCTTTCTGCCAAATCTCTGAGCACAATACTGACAGAGGAAGTCTTTTCTGCCTGTGTGAACAACCATGTGTCTCCGAACATCTTTGCGAGTGTAGAACCGTCGATCACAGTGGTCACACTGGTGCTTCTTCTCCTTAACTCCACTTGACGACTTGCCCGAATGTGTTTTCAGGTGCTCAAGCAGAACCTCTGTACTCTCAAATGTCTGAAGGCATACTTTGCAGGTCAGGTCACCACTGGTGGCAGCGTGCAGTGCCAGATGACGCTTGTAGCCCAACTTAGTATTGTAGTTCTTGCCACATTCTTCACACTTGAACGCCTCTTTATTTGGATCATGTGTCTGAAGGTGGTTCTTCAGGTGGTCTTTCCGGTGGAACATTTTTTCACAGTAGGTGCACTTATGTGTTTTTTGTGGTGAATGTGTGGCCATGTGCCTAAACAAAATAATAGTGAAAGTAATCAGGACTACACACATTTCCCATGATCGCTTAAAATAAAGTGGCATCACATTAATTTAGATAGATTTAATGCCGATTACGAGTAAGTGCAAGCTCAATAATTTTTCAATAGGTTTTCTAATACTTATTGAAGATAATTATTTCAAGTGATGAGCCGAAATTATTATATTCTTACTGAAACGTTACACAATTGTAATACACAATTTGGTGCAATTATTTTACTAAATTATCCAAAAAGTACATAATACAGTTTTTGAATTATTACAAGAAAATACAGAAGACTAGAGTTCATTATTTTGAAATTAAAAGGGAAAGCAGCATTGCATACTTTCCTTCCTTTAAATTAAAAGCTTTTGTTAACTATATTTTGTTACTGAAGGAAATTATGGAAATGTTACAAACAACTGAAAAGATCAAAAAGCAAAACAGCAGAATTTCTTTTATCAACTTAATTGCAACTCAACAAAGCAAAATAATTTTATGTTTATTGAATAGTTGCATAAATCACAAAGCTAGAACTTATATGCCTATTTTCAATACAACTGCAATTTTAAAAAAAACACAGGAGAAGGTAGCCATGCAGAGCTAGGCAAAGAGTGCCTGTGATATTGAAGATAGCAAAGGAAGTGTAGACAGGGATCATTAGATACAATCAGAGTTAAGGCTCTTCAGATGGGTGAATAATTTGCCTATAAAATAAGCTTTGTGACATGTCAGGGTTTTTAGGTTGCCAAGCTGGATTTTCAAACTGGCCCCAATTATCAACCAGATTTGTCTGCTGTTGTAGATAACCATTATTTGACATTCCAGGCTTTATTTTGCTCTGGCTGGTTTTTTGTTGTTGTCTTCTATGTAATACTGCCACCTCATCAGCGTTGACAGTGTGACACGGAAGGTTGCTCACGTATTGAAGCTCCACAAACACCACCAATCTGTCACTTGCTGCTGAAATCCACACAGGTATCTTTAAAAGTTGAAAGCTGAATAAGACAGTGCAGGAGAACAGCAATCTGACCGAGAACACCAAACCTTTTGACCCTACTAAGCCTGTGTCCTCAGTGTTCTCTTTTAGAGACCTACACATCAAACACTAGGCAGAAGAAAAGGCTGAACAGTTTCGACATTCACTGTTTTAGATGCAGTACTTGGCAAGACAAGAGCACCAACTCAGGAATAGTGATTGGCTCTTTAGACTGAAATTGCACAATGTGTTTGTATGTCACAGTTTCATGGATTTTCAGGGTTTGGTTTCAAATCATCAAATCATATTCCTATTAACCTGCAGGCATCTTAAGATGTGAATACAAACCAGTCTCAATTGGAATTTTTCTGTCAATGAGGCAACACTGCGAAGAACAGCCCTTTCAAGTGCCTACTGGATCACAAAATGAAAGCAGGTCAATGAGATATTAAGATTAATATTATTTCAGGATTTTAAAAAATTATGATTTGAGATTGCATTTTGAAGTTTAGGAGAACAAAGAGGTCATGTGACCTTTTTGAACACATCCAGATCCCGGACGGAGGGCGAAGCTAGAAATTAAAGCAATTATTTTAGTTCACCAAGCAGAAATGCCAGTGGGATCCTGCATTCAGAGAGAAAAGATCAAATTGGCGGGGAATTAAGTGTCACCTAGTTTAGGCTAGAGGGAGGGGTTTTGGAAAAGAATACCTCATTGTGAAAGACAGTTCTTAGATTACAAGTTACCAGGCTGAGAAAAGAACAGGAATAAACAAACAGTCAGGAACCAAGAAACAAAACCACAAATTGCTGGAAAAACTCAGCAGGTCAGGCAACATCCATGGAGAAAAAGCTTTCTCTCCATAGATGCTGCCAGACCTGCTGAGTTGTTCCAATAATTTATGATTTTGGATCGGATTTCCAGCATCTGCAGTTCTTTGGGTTTTTTTTTGTTTAGTGTTTAACTCAGGAACTAAGAATCACTTTGAATCAATTTTGGAAAAACCGATTATCCGCATAAAAGGTGTACGAAGTATACATGTGGAAACTGTTTCATCAACTGGATGAAGAATCAAAAGGAAGCATTCATTACTGTGAGTTAAACACAAGTTGTCAGTAAAAAGAAAGTAGGACCTAGTCAAAAAGTGCTTGTTTAAGTTACTTGCCATTATTAAAAAAGTTCTAAAATGTGAAATCCTGTTATGTTATTCTTTCAATTTTACCTGGAAGTTTGAATCCTTTTTAAAAAAGAGTCAATCTCTACCAAGATCCTAGCAAGAAACAAAACAGAAATAGATCTGAGCAAACTGAGATCCTTGAAATGTGTTCAATCAGAGCCAATAATTGATCATATAGGTATAGCACCTAGCTGGATTTTTCTATTAGGTGTACGGACAGACACACATTGAATTGGTACCAGTGATGAAATAGTCCCATCACGTCAAAATGAATTTGCTTATAAAAGCTTTTGTTTAAATGCAGGTGAAGAGGAAACAAATTACACATATTCAGTGCTTTGTGCAGCCAACATGGTGGAAATTTTGGAATATTTGAAAACTTGGACGAAAATTCATGTTAAGTATTTCAGGTCATTCTGAACTTTTTAATCACTGCCTTGTCAATGATAATATTATGTAATTCTGAGACAATCCATCTGCTTGTTTGACAAACTTGTATGAGCATGACTTGCCCACAGAGTCCAGTAAAGTATACTGGAAGCAGCTTAAAGTTTGACTTTCAGATTATTTCTTGAGTTGTAAATGTTGATGAAGCAGACCATATGATCTTTCTAAAATTTTCTGCTACAGAATATTCCAGCTTCAATGTCTGTCTGCTGGTTAAATATGCTTATTGTGAAATTGTTCCACTGCCCCTTAACATAATTCATTCGTTCTTAATGAGTAGAGAGATCCCAGCAGATGTCCAGTTTGCTGAAGCAAAGATGTACCTGGATGAGCATAGTAAATAGCAAATTGAGGCTCAACAAATTTGCATGTCATTCCTCTGCGTGCAACTTTAACAACAAGATTAACTTGATTATTTACCAGATTAACCAGATGTATTTAAAGCAGCAGATAAATACTTGTCATGTCACAATGTTAAGAACACGCTGCTAAAAACTGCCATTCATAATTTGTTGTAGAGCTGGATGAACACAGCAGGCCAAGCAGCATCATAGGAGCAGGAAGGCTGACGTTTCCT